AACCTCAGAGTGTTTCTTCAACACGGAGGCAAACAGATCGAAACAGCCTGGCAGCTCTTCCCCCACCGCAGCGCTTCAGAACAAAACAAACTCAAATCCTTTGCCAGAGAAATCATTTATGGGGAAAGAGCGACATCTACTGCTTAACGCTGCGCTCACACCCTTCCGCTCCGAGGAACCAAAGCGAAGGGCAGAGCACCGAGGGGACGAAACGAACCAAACAACAAAAAAACAAACAAACAAATAAAAACAACAGCCGAACAACCTAAGTAACTAACACCGAGCTTCCTGGATCTTAGCGAAAATACCCTTAACATCACTGCCGCGCAGCTCGCTCAGACGAGCGGGAGAGCAGCCTGCAGGCACACCGGCCACGCGGCGCTACCCCCGTGCCGGCCGCCGCCAGCCGACCGCGCTGGTTGAGCCGAGCCCGCCGGCGGAGGACGGGGCCACAGCGGCCCTTCCCTCCGCAGAGCCTGCCCCGCGCGGCGGCGGCGGCAGCGCCCGGAGCTCCCCCGTCCCGACGGCAGCGGCCCGGCCGTGGCGCAGCGGCCGCAAGGTGGCGCTGTGGGACTACGAATGCCGCCGCCGGAGCCCGACTTGGGGGGAGGGGATGCGGAGCAGCGCCGATGCCCCTCAGCGCCAGGAGGTGTCTCTGCTGCGCAAAGGAGCGAAGCTGCTTCTACTCACCGGAGAGCTGCACCCCGTCAGCCCCGCACCCAGCGCCCTGCAGCTGCAGCCGGGTGAGGAGGACGCGCAGCTGGCGGTGACAGACGGGACCCGGTGCCCCTACGCAGGACGGCTGTCCCCGACCGTCAGCGCTGCCCGGAGTCAGCGCTGGCCTTTCATCTCCTGTGCGCTCGTTCTTGCAGGCACGGGAGTTGATTACCTGCTTGAGGCAACGTGAGGCTGGGCACCCCGTTCTTCTCGTCGGAAGGCTCCGTACCCGCCACACTACGAAGATAGGGATAAGCTGGTGTTGCAGCGCTCAGCCACGCTGGAGATGCGTGGGTAGACTTTGAATGGGCTGCACGAGGGGAACTGCAAACGTGTTTTGAAGCTTCCTATTCACATGGGAACGAAGTCAAAAATCCCCAGGAAGGACTTGGAAGTGGTGGAATTTCTCCATCTGTGGAACAAATGATTGAGAGATGCAAAAGCTCTCATAAATACAAGATATATTTGTTCCTATTCATGGCAGGGGAGTTGGGCAAGATGAGCTTTAAAGGTCCCTTCTGACTCCAAGGCTGCAATGATTCTGTGTTTCTATGTTAAAACAGGGAAGAATGAATGATTATGCTTTGTTTCCACAGTGTGACAAGAGAAAGAAATTTCGCAACATGGTGCTAATATCAGCAGAGTCAGAAGAAGCACTGGACTTTACTATGAAGTGCAGGCACCAAAGGTGTAGGAGGTGAATGCTCATCTGCATACTGTGTAATGAGGCCAACGCTGATTAGAAACTACAGTCACGTGAAAGAAATATGTCAGGACTTCTTATGAGCTGTAAACTCAAGAAGAGCTGGAAACTGATGACTTTCATGAGGGAATGGTATCAGTAAGGCAAGTGATTACCAGGCCCTACTGATGACCTGTGACAGTTCTTAACATCGGATTTAACCCTAAGCCTTGAGTTAAGATATTTTAAAGGGTGTTGAACAGAAGAAGAAATCCTGTTATCATTATGTGCTGGTAGGGATGATGGGATATTAAAACTCTAGCCTGAAGCTGGTTAATGAAATGCTTGTAACAGAACTGCAGAATGCAGGTTATGGCTAGCTAGGACTTCTGGGAAGAGAGTAGAAAATTGGCGGCCAGGAAATGCTTCAGAGAGCGAGTGAAAAGCCAAGACTTCAGCCTACTTGGATCAGGGGAAGCTTGAGAGCAGATGACTGAGTGGAATGAGGTGCAAATGTAGCAATGTGTGGCATTTCCAAGAGTAGGAGACCTTTTAGATTCCTTCTCCTGTGGAAACGTATTAAGTAGTGATCTTAAACACTTACCCTCTGGTCTGCTAGATCAGATTAGTTCAACTCTTGTTCCAAATGGAAAACTGTATCCCGCTTAAATAACAGGAGGCAGGTTGACCTGTCTGTTCACGTGATGCAGTCCTGTGATTAGTTATGGACTGGCTTACTATCATTTGGACACAGCGTGGGGTCAGAGACCAGCTGGAGTGCATGGAATTCTGCCTGAGGGTCAACGGAGAGCCAACTGCAATTTGATGGGTTAGCATTAAAACGAGAACAGGGACAGGGAACACACTGCTGCGACAAACCACCTGAACATTTTAATACTGCGCTCCAGCAGATAATACAGGGGAGCATATCTCTGTGGCTGTTAACAAGCCTGCCTACATCACAAAATCTTACATCTGTTGGTGGATATATTTAGGTGATGATTCATTGGAATGAGCATTACTTTGGGTTGGTGCTGTATGGGATTTGCGGGGTCTTAAACCACACTCAACTACTTCTTCCTTATCCTGTGTATGGCTTTTTTGTTTTGTTCTTTTTTTTTTTTCCTCCTCCCTCCATCAGCCATCCAAGTTTATTACAGGAGATGTTCTTTAAAAAAAAAAAAAAAAAAAAGGGAAGAAAAAAAAAAGTTTCTCCAGCACTCTCTTCCCTTTGGAGCAGTGACAGACTCCTATCTATTTTGAAATGTGGGTTAATCATTTTAGTATCTTGTGTTTGTTTGTGTATTTTCCACTGTACATACAAGCATTTTTTAAAGGAAAATCAGTACAACAGTTCAACTTATGTACAGTGCAACCATTAATTGCCAAGTCTAGAGAATGAATATGCCTGCAGAAACTGCTGCAGAGTACTAAGGCATCTTTCCTTTTTGGGAAGGTAGGAGTGTGAAAGAGCCACTTTGGAAGGATATTCCAGCTATCTTTGGTCACAGTAATCAGTTTTAGCTGGCCTTTATTCAGAATCTATACCACTCACTTTTTAAGCTATTACTGCAGTAATATCTGCAGAAAATCTCTGACAAGTTACCAGGCTTTATAATTTATTAGTTCAGGTTTAATGTCCAACAGCAAATAACAGGTAGCTGAGATAGGGATCTAGTCAAAACTGTATAGTAAAATTCCTCAGCTTTTCAGCAAGAAACAGTTTTCAAAAGAGAATAAGACTTTAACTGACAATGTCTTCAAAAATCAAGTACCATCTGTACCACTGAATAACAAAAATAGAATTATCCAGTTATCATGAATTAGTTATTCTGTTGTTTTGGTAGTAGCAACAGTTAGGTTATGGCTATACTCCATTTTCTTACAGTTCTGCTCCTTCCGAAGTCCTGTCTTACAAGGCTCACTGGAATAAAGCAGCCCTGAACAAGGCAATATGCAGCACCCATACTGAGGATCTTCATTTAATTGCTTTAATGCAAAGACTATATCTATTGTGTCTCTGAGCCAAAATGTTTTTAGATGCTGAAAATGGCCAGCACTGCTTCTGTAACAGCAGATTTATCCCACAAGCAAATCAGCATGGATGAGAATGTACTAACAAAAGAAAATGCTGTACAATCTTCTTCAGTCTGTGGCTTTAGAGTAGAACACATATTACTATAGGCAATCTGCTTGTTCTGGCTGACCAAATAAGTGCTTTCTTCTTTTTGCTTTAAAAAGTGCTAGAAACACATTTTCAAGCACATTTCTAAGCATGTTTGTGATAAAGTTGGGAATATCAATTATGTGAGTCAATCACAATTTTAGATGAATGTCAATTTGGATCTTGAAATCAGACTCCTATGAAAGACAGATGCTGATTGTTTCCAAATTAAGTATCTTTTACACAAATTGCAAAATCATATCCCTGAATTTTCCTTTTTTTTTTTTTTTCATTTAATCATTTTTATCTCCATGAAATCAGAACAGCGCCCAAAAGAAGAGATAAAAAGAAATTAAAAGAAGGCATGAGAATATCCCTACCAACTCTGAACATATGTGGGAATCTCCTGACTGGGTTAGGTCAGGAACTATCATGAACTGCAACCCTGTTTTAAGGTACCTGAAGAACGTTAAAGAACTGTAACTATTTTGTAAAAGTGATGGATGTTTGAATGTGTAAACTGACTGACTTGAAGTCTCTGGCTGACACTCAAAATGTTCACTTGCCTTATTCTGTGAGAGGTGTTTGTATTATAGCAATCAAGATAAATGCAGCAATGTATTTTCAGTCTTAATTGTCTTAATTCTTTGTAAGAAGCCACTAGAAAGCAGATCACTCAATTGATGTGGAGACCTATGTGTGGGCTTTCAAAGAGAGACACAGAGCATTTAGAAGCACACACTGTTTGTGTGTGACCTTTGGTTTGGGCCAGGCTTCAGACCACGATCTCCATTTTCATGTTATTTTTCTGCGCACGTTGTCAGCGTTCCGAGCTGTGGGACAACAGCTGCATAATTCTGTTCTTTTGTTCAGAATTGCTTCACACGCTTTCTCAGATGTATCACCATCACCATCTGCACAGAAAAAAAATTAAAAAAATAAAAAATCACAGAATCACCAAGGTTAGAGAAGACCTCCAAGATCATCCAGTCCAATCACCCATCCACCACCAGTATTTCCCCACTAAACCACGTGGCACATCAGCCTTAATTCATCAAACAACTTCTCTCAACTCAGCTGAGCGCCTTACGGGAGGCGTTAGGAGGCGCTCTGACTTCCCCTCACAACCACGCACACCGGTGAGATAAGCGCGGCTTTACGGCCACGGACCGCAGCCGGAGGGCCCCTCGAAGAGCCGGGCGCGACCCCGCAAGGCCAGCACAGCTGAGGTAAGCAGGCTCCGCCTGCCGTCCTCCCGCACCGCTGCTACCCCTCATCGCCGTGCAGTAGCTTATAGGAGCTCGGTCACGCCGAACACGAGGCGAGCGGGGACGGGACGGATAGGGAGAGCAGAAAGGCGCGCCACGCTTCCGCACGGCGCTTTACGGTCCTGTTACGACACTGTCGCGCGACATCATTCGGGAGAGCCATGCCGGTGGCGCGCGCCGCCGTAAAGCACGCCGGCGGCAATAGCAAGCGGCACGTGTGAAGCGAGAGACCGCGGGCGGGACAGGGAGGAGTCGGAGGAGCCAGGAGGTAAAGCCGTCCTCATTAGCGGGGCTGCGGCGCCCACCGCTGTCCGGGAGTTGGGTGCCGACAGCGGGACTGGCCGTGGGGATCGGAGGCGGGGCTGTGCGGGCCTAGCCAGCCGCGGCCTCACTAGCCGAGCTCGGAGCTGGACTGCGGGCGCCTGCCGCGCTCTGGCGGCGGCAACCGGGGACGGGCTCAGCGCCGTGCCGCCGCCCCAGGCAGGTCAGGGCCGCCGCGGGAAGGGCTCGGGGTCGTGATTCGTTGTGACGTTAGCGGCGTAGAATTGGTGTAACGCTGTTTCTTTCTCCGTTTGCAGTGTTGTCGCGATGAAAGCCTGGAATAACAAGAAGTTTCCAGGAAAGAGCGGGAAAGGACCTCGTGGAAAACAGCTGCGTGGAAAACGAAAGTTTAAGAAAGATGACGGTAAGGAAGCAAAGGCTTGCTCGTGAGAGCTCTGACTAAACGATTGTTGTACGTGTGAACTTTATTTCTGTCTTGACCAAATTGATGACCTTTTTTGATGAAACGGCTGGCCCAGTGAACTTGGAGAAAACAGTGCCCGTATTCTGATGGGGCTTCAGTAAGGCACCATCTCCCATGAGATCCTAAGATAAGCTGATCAAAGTACTGGATGAGCAGTGAGGTGGGTTGAAAACTGGCACAGTGCTGAGAGCTAAAACATGGTGATCAGTAGTGTGAGGTCTGGTTGAAAGCCAGTGATGAGCAGAGCGCTCTAATGTCTGTACTGAGTCCAGGACTGTTTAACATTTTTGTTAGCGTGGTTGATGGATTAGAGTGCACTCCTAGTAACCTCGTGGGTAACATAAGCAGGGAGAGTCACTGATTCACTAGTAAGCTGTGCTGTCATCCAAAGGGACCTGAACAGACTGGAAGAATGAGCTGATGGTAAGTTGGGTGCAGAGTTCTGCAGATGGGGAGGAACAGCATCAGGACATGCTGTGGCCACCCCAGTGAAAAGCTGTGCTGTATGGAAGAAGTATTGCTGTTCCAGTTGGCAGTAAGTTAAACTATGAGCCAGCTGTGTGCCCTTGCAGCAAAACAAATGAGTGATATCCTGAGCTTTGTTAAGCAGTGTTGTCACCACATCAGGAGGCATGCTTCTTCAGCTGCTGTCTTAGAAACACTGAGAGTCCTTTTTCTACTTCTGGCCTCCCAGTAGAAGGAAGATGTAGGCATACTGAAAAGAGACCGGTGAGGGGCCACCATGATGACAAAGAGACTGGAGTACCTCTGCTGTGAAGAGAAGCTTGGAGAGCTGGGACTGTTAAGCCTGAAGAGTAGAAGTGTCCGAGGGGGTCTTTTCAGTGCCCATAAATACTGCAAAAGACAGTGCAAAGAAGAAGAGCCATGGTATTTTCAGTAGTGCCTGGACAAGAGGCAGAAGGCAAAACCTGGATCACAGGAGGTTCCATCTGAACATTGGGAAGCAATTCATTACTGTGCAAGTGACAGATTTACCAGAGAGTGTGTGGGATCTCTTTTTTGGAGACCTTCAGAAACCATCTGGACTTTGCACAGGTCACCCTGCCCTGGGTCACTCTATGTGAGCAGGGGATGGAGCAGATGGACCCAGAGGCTCCTTCCAAGCTCAGCCATGGTCTGATTTTGTGTCACATTCAAAGCTATAGTAATGGTGAACAATTAAAACAGTTTGGAAAAAGTAAAGCTAAAGGATTGTAAGCCCTTCAGCTGTATTTGGTTGAGCTAAAATACTCTTGTTAAAAATATGAAGTTGTTGATGTTTTTTCTTATTCTGGTCTTTGCTTTCCTCCATTTAAAAAGCAAGAATTACTAGAGAGTTGAAGCCATGTTGTGCAAAGTGCTATGGATTAGAATTGGGATAATATGTTATCTATGCTATCTAACATATTCAAGTATGGTCGGAACTGATGTCAAAACAGCTCTGACCATAACTGTGAAGAGGCAATTGTGGCACTTGTGATTTTGGTATCCTTAATTCAGATTAATCCTTTTTGTACCTGGGCCTTTATGTTGTAGATTAAAAATAGTGCTTGGACGAGGCAAAACTTTCTGGGAAAACTGAGCAGGAAAGGGGGACTCATGGACTGAAATAAAAATAAAAAATTAAAAAAAAAAACAAAAACCAACAAAACAGTACGTTGTGACAGGGTAGTCTGATTCTTGTTTTAAGAATTATTACTTTGAAGCAACAATGGTTCTAGGGTAATATTTTAATTTGTGGAGTTTTTTTTTTTTTTTAATTAGATTCAGTTCCTTCAAAGACTTTTCATAGTAAAAGAGATAAGGAGGAAAAGCCTACATCCATTTCCAAAAAGCCTGTGAAAGGAAATTTAAGACCTGGAAGAGCTAGTGTCAAACAAGTCAAGAATAAACAGCAAACAGAAAAGCTTGCAAAGAAGAGGAAATATGAGGATAGCACAGAGAGAGGTGAGTGGATCGACTTTTTTTTTCTTTTTTTCTTAGGGCTGACTTAGATGAAATTGAGATTTTTGCTATGCCCTTTATACTGGTTTGTCTTCCTCAGCCCTGATCTTGTAATCACTTTTTCCTAATTGACTCAGTGACTCCAAGTTTGGATTTAGTGTCTCCTGTGTAATGGTTTATTTCTCTTGATTAAATGTGGGCTGAAGTCATGAAAACCAGCAGTTAGTTATGAGCTGTCTTGAAGTCGAATATAAAGGTGCAGTATTGAGTTTAAGTAGTTCATATGCCATCAGAATGTGGAGAAGGACCTGGGGGTCCTGGTGGATGGTAGGTTGGCCAGTGTGTGAGCCAGCAGTGTGCCCTTGTGGCCAGAAAGGCCAGTGAGTGACATGCAGAATCAAACTCTGTAACCCAAGTGAGATTACAAAGCAGATACAGTTTATTCAGTGCTGTGCAGACTCCAGGTGTGAGGGGGGATAGATCACCTGACTTGCACACCGTCAGGAAAAGTCATGCTCCAGATATAGGCCAAGCTAATACATAATCAATAGTTTTCATAGAATTCGGGTGCACATTCGTTACACCTCTGAGAGTTCGTTAGCATGCAGACCCTTCCCTCCTGCACGTGCACAGTGGGTTGTGGGATGAAGACTTGTTGTTTTCCTCAGGAAGGCTTCTGACCATTTTTGCTGTAAACTCCTGGCCTTCTGGGGGGGCATCCCCCCCAAACTGGTTCCTTCTTGCCCTGTGGACATGTAATCACTTCCCTGCCAAATGTCTTCGGGCTCAGACCCTTATCTTTATGGCCTTCATCCCCCTCACTATCCCAGACCCAGTGTCTGCCATCCCTTATTTTCTAACAAGCTCTACATTCCTGTTTCTGTAAACTATCTCTAACTATGCCCCTTCACCCTCCTTATTGTCAATCACTGTGAAGCTTTCTTGCCTTTTTACTTTCATTTGTGGGGCCTGTCTCACCTTTCAGGGGCGCTGGGGTGCATTAAAAGGAGTGGGCCAGCAGGTCAAGAGAGGTGATCCTTCCCCTCCACTCTGCCCTGGTCAGACCTCACTTGGAGTATAGTATCCAGTTCTTTGCTCCCCAATATAAAAATAAAGAATAATAAAGAAATTTGTTGCTTGGAGTGGTGAGGCCCTAGCTCAGCAAAGCTGTGGATGCCCAATCCCTTGAGATGTTCAGAGCTAGGTTGGATGGGACCCAGGGCAGCCTGATCTAGTGGATGGCAGCCCTGTCCATGGCAGGGGGTTGGAACTGGTTGGTCTTCGAGGTACCTTGTAAAGGGGTGTAAAGGATTGTATGGAAGAGCCAAAGGGAGAATTCACTGGGTCTGTACAGTCACAGAGTGGTAGCTATATCCAGGGTCAATGTTGAAGCTGTGAAGATGTTTGCAGTGCATCCTTTGAGTGAGCTTTGAGGAGAAGAATCATTGTTTGCCTTGTTCTTCTGCTATTCTAAAACTGGAAACTACCAGCTTAGCATGTTTATGAAATATTTGTGCTGGGAAAATGCAGACAAAGCTCCTGGCACATTAGGAATTGAAGTCAAAGAGTTACTGCAGCTCACACTTAAAGGTTTCCCTTGCTCCTCTCTTCTCAACTATAGAAAATAAGTGTTTCTGATGTTTCTGTTTTCAGAGTCAGATTCTAAGAAGCCTAAATGGAATGACTTTAAAAAGAAAAAGAAGGAGTTAAAGCAAAGCAGGCAACTTAATGATAAAAGTAATTATGATATAATTGTAAAATCAAAGCAAATATGGGAGAGCGTGAGAAGGTAATGTTTTTTTTTTTGTCTTTCATTGTCATAAGTTGGAGTACTTCCTTTTGGTAACTTTTGTGAACCTGTGTTTTCACTGTGGAACTGTCTTGAAATGACACCATTATATGCAAGTCTTCAGAGACTTCAAGTGAAGTGTCATCTTTCATCATTATAGAAATATCTGGATTTTTCATTTGTAGACTAAGATGTTTGAGGATTTGTCTTGTCTTTTGAACTATCAACCACACATTTTAGTCTAATCTTGCAGTTGGATAACTGCAAGCTTGTTGAGGTTTTTAGTGTTTTCTGGAGGGTAGTGTTCTTTGGCAAGTGCAATTCAGGACTGTGGCCTTATGACAGAAAGAGGAGTTAATTTTGCTGTGTTGCTCTAATTGCATGTTTTCTACAGTTGGCTGTAAGGCACGTAAGGATCTTCTGTATCTTAGTGGCACTAACAGTTCTGATTGCAGAATTGAGTTTCTAGGCTAATTATAGCTGTTACTAAGAAAATGGCTTTGAAGTATGAATATCTGGTTTGGTTTCTTGGCACTAAAGCCACTTTATTATGCCTCAGCTTTAATTAATGGCAGTGTAAATGTGGATTAGCAGGAGCTAATCTCATAATATGTTATAATACCTTGCTTTTTAACATTGAGATAGAACTGCATCAACCTGTGAAAATGCAGTTTCCTTAAGGTTGCTTTACTTCTCTTCCTGCAGGAAGAAATGTGATAAGGAGAAGCGGGAAAAGCTGATGAATGAGCTACAAAAACTACTTCATGGAAAAATCAAAAACGTAAGGAAAGCTAATGCCATTAACAAATGCTGTATAACCTGCAAAGTTCACAGAAGCTCCTTTTAAAAATGGTGAATTGTTTATATAATTCAGTACCAACCCAGTCTCCCAAAAGCTACAGAGAATGTTATTTTAGCTGCAAGTCTTTCCCAAAAAGAAAAAAAAATAGGATTGCAAGGCTGATTTGGCTCTTAGATTTGAGGACAGTAGTGCAGGGATGCTTTGCCAAGTCTAAAGAAACTAATTGAAAGTGAAGTTTACAATCAGCCCCTCAGAGTTCTGGCTGTTGCTTTATGGTAATGCACTGCAGAAGTATTGCTTTGATCCTAAGCCAAAAGAATGCTTTGGTACAGTTAATTCACGGAATATGTGAATTTGCCTGGAAATGTATGTTGCTGCATCCTAGAGTGGTTCTTGATATGCCATGCAGAACTGAAACTGTTTGGTAACATTCATTCTGAAATTCCATAGGACACAAGTGAAAATGAGTTTTTATTCAGTACTGAATATTTCATGTATATAACAGGTGTTCTTAATTGTCACCAATTGCAAACATTCTCTGTGTTGTTTTATAGAATATTTTTAAAGTAATAAAAACACTTTAAAAATTAGTATGCTTTAGCAGGTGATTATTGTAATCGGAATTATGTGCTGCATGTGGCATAAAGCTCTTTTGGAGATAAAATGTAAAATAAATTTGGTGCATAGTATCATACAAATGCTCTAGAGTAACGGAACATTTCTGTCCTGCAGCTAGCATTTGCACATGATTCAACTCGAGTGATCCAGTGCTTTATTCAATATGGTAATGACAAGCAAAGGCAAGAGACATTTGAAGAGTTAAAAGGTATTTTTTCCCATCTGCCTTTTACCTGTATGATTTTGTGCTGTTTTCTCATAAGTACTGTTAACTTTATGGTGACATGATGTGTTATTCCCAGTGAGGTCTTGAAAGGCACTACAAAACCCAAAGCCATTACTTACGTGTTGATATAAAGGAAAATCAAAGTGAGCCTATTCTTTTTCCCTTTTTTTCTAGATAGCCTTGTGGAGTTGAGTAAGTCAAAATATTCCAGGAATATTGTGAAAAAGTTTCTTATGTATGGGTGAGTATGAAGTGAATTTGCTTATTTATCTTGCATTTTTGATTTCCAGCATGAGTGTTAATCTTTATCTATTAAAATCAATGATGATTTTAAAAAAGCTATGTCTATGGGAATGTGTTTGTAGCAGTGAGTATTTGATATTTCCTATGGCTATTCTCTTTTTGTCAAGAAGTGTTTCAGGAAATTATCCTTCTGTAGTTATCCACAGGTTTCTTCTCTTATGTATCTTTGATCATCCTTTATAACTTTTGTGGATGCCTGCCTTTCTGTACATATTTAATATCATAAAGATTATCCGCCCTGTTGCATATGTTTCTTGGTTTGTTTGCTAATACTTATCACCTACATAGGTTTTCAGAAATGAAGCTACTGCTAGATTATATCCTCCCTAATGTTTCAAGTACTGCTATCAATCTTTCCCTGTGAAACAGGACAAAACAACAAATTGCTGAAATAATAAGAAGTTTTAAAGGTCACGTGAAAAAAATGCTCCGTCATGCTGAAGCATCTGCTGTAGTGGAATATGCATATAATGACAAAGCCATTCTGGAACAGAGAAATATGCTGACAGAAGAACTATATGGAAATACTTTTCAGGTTTACAAGGTGATTTATTCCTTTTGTTTTAAGGTATTCTGTCATCCAGTGCCCTGTGTTACTGATACCTCCCTTGTGTACAGTATTCTCCAGTAAAATTCCTTTCTATGTCCAAATGCATTCTAATTTATCATATGTAAATGCACGAGTAAATTGCATATTTCTGCTATAGGTTAAGATTGTATTCTTCAGCTTGATCTACGTGAAGTACATTCATGTACGAGCTTTTTCTGCAGTCCAGTGTTTATCATGGAATCATAGAATGGCTTGGGTTGGAAGGGACCTCAGGGGTCACGAAGCTCCAACCCCCCTGACACATGAAGGGCAGCCGGCCTCCATATCTAATATTAGACCAGGCTGCCCAGGGCCTCATCCAACCTGGCCTTGAACACCTCCAGGAATGGGACATCCACAACCTCTCTGGGCAGCCTGTTCCTGCACCTCACCACTCTCTTGGCTTAGCTGGAGTTGTTACAGTGTCTAGCCTGAAATAGTCATCCTTACTGAGATAAGATTGTGATTTAATTCCCCATCAATGCTGTAGATGGCTTCTACATTAAAACTATCTTATACTGTGAGAACTGAGTGTGAGCGAGATGCACTTGTTTCTGTACACAACATGCAATTTTGGTTTATTTTCTTTTTCCAGTGAAGGTTTGGATTGAATCCAAACTCTTGAAATCATTTAGATGCATATACCTTGCAGACAGTGGCAGATCTTTTTTTTTTTAAAAAAAAAAAAGTACTACCTCCTTTCTTTTGACCTAGTGTTTCTTTTTCCCTGCTGACTTACAGATTTTTGTTCCCTGTTAATAGAGAAATAAATATTTCCTACTACGTACAAAATTGTTTTCCCCAATTATTAACTACTTCAGAGTGACTTTTGTACCTCACTTTTTTTTCTTTTTTCTTTTTTTTTTTTTTTAGAATTTTAGAGGGTTTTAACAACAACTTCTGAACTATATTGTCATTTTTATTTCAGGTTATCTCAAGCTTAATTAAAGCATTTAACAGCACTTTAACAGAAAAGGCTTACTTTCTTTGTTCATGGACTGTAATTTTTCTGGGAGTACACAACCTTTAGAAATTAGGTTTTACAGTGCACGCGTTTAAACTAGATGCCAGCAAACTTTAGTATATAGAAGATTTATGTAGTATTCCTTTCCCATGCTTTTCTTGGCCTGGAATTTCTTGTACCTCTAACTTAGTTCATTGATGTATTACCCTCTGACATCTATGTATGCTGTCTTGCAAAACTTTTCTTCAGAAACACACTGCCAGTTTAGTGTGATTTTTTTTACCAGGTACCTGCCAGCCTCATGAAGAGCTGGCTGTAATTGCCAGAAAACAGCTCAGGCTATAGAGGTAGCTTTGTTTGCTCATAACAGTTACACAGACCTGTAGATGTATTTTTGTGTATAGTTTGACATGCACAAAGTAGCTACACTGATAGTTTGCAGACATTTCATTTTCTTTGTGATATTGTTAATGAATTGCTGATTGACAAGGGACTATAACATTTTCTATGAACTCTAACATTGGGAAGGGTATAATTAAAACTCTGAATGGATATTCATTTCAGACACCACTCGTCCCAACACTGGATAAAGTGTTAGAAGCTCAGCCTGAGAAGAGAGAGGCCATTCTAGATGAAATGAAGCAGATACTTACACCAATGGCACAAAAGTAAGGACCAAAACTGACTTACAGGTGTCAGTCTAGTATGCATCTGTTTGTTTTTGAGATGGTGATACTTGTATATAGATGATGTATAAGAATAACACTGCTTCTCTTTCACCTTTAATATTTCTGCATTGGGTAGCAAGAAATGATGATTTTGTCCTTAGCGCTGTGATAATATCTTAAGTTTTATGAAGTACCTGCCCAAATCAGTTGGTCAAACTCTAAAGAATGCGGTGTGCCTGAATAAACTTCTTGAGTGGTCTTTAAGATTAAAATATCTAGTTTGGTTTTTGAATCTATTGGTAGAATTTCCCACACATTGTGAATACATCATACATGTCTTATGAGTTTTCTGCACACCATGCTTTTTCTTTTTTTGGAAATACAGAGGAAGTAGTGCTAACATCTGCTAGAACTGTTGCTTTTGGAGGGCTTTTACTTAGTTCTTCTTTCCAAATACAGAGAGGCTGTGATAAAACACTCACTGGTACATAAAGTATTTTTGGACTTTTTCACTCATGCTCTTCCAAAACAAAGATCTGTAAGTATTCTTTCATTATATTTTGTTTTCTTTTGCTTTTCAATGAAATAACTTTAATTATGTTGTGAAAGCGTTGCCTCTAAAAGAAAATATACTGAAATGCCAGCCTTGTACATCTGATGATTCCAGATGAGTAACTGGGGAATGGTGTTGTATGAAGACTTAGTTACAGTGAGCTTTCACATTAATGCAGTGGTATCTCACCTAGTTTGACCTGTCTCCAACCACTGTCCATTATCCTCATTCTGCAGCTCAGCGCCATCTAAATCCAGGCCATGTGGAGCTTTCCATACTTACTGTGTGTCCCCTGTTTTCACCTAGACTGAGCTTGTTGTGATGAACAAAGCCAAAGATAAGAGTAGTGAGGTAGATTATTCATGGCCTAGTCTAAATCAATATTTCACCTAATTCAGGATTTTTGAGTATAGTTTTCTATAGTAATTCAACAGAAAATAGTTGTGAATTAACAATGCTCTTCTACTTCAAGAGGAGTAAGAATGTGTCTCTTCTTTGTTTTTATTTTTGTGCGGTCCTGGTATCACTGGAATAATCTTCTTGTGCAAAGGGTGGTTTGTTGAATTTAATTCTGTTTTTGTGCAAATGTCATCATTTGGAAACTCTTTTTGTAGAGCTGTCTGTGCCTCTGCACATAACTAGTGATGACAGTTATGTGAATGAGCACTTTCTAGGGACTTTTGATATTTAAATGACTTTTAGTTCTTCATATTCTCTCGCTGATGTCCTGTGTGTATAAATGAACTGTATGCCCTCATGGTTGTTTTTTTCCCTAAATTAATAGTTGTAGTTGTCTCTTCTAATATCTGTCAGTTCTGAGAACCATGCTGAGAATTTTCACTAATGGGACAACAGACAAGCTTCTATGTACTTCATAGTACTACTAGTACTATGGTACTAGTTTAACACAGTAGGTAGTGTAGTTTTGGAGTGGGCAGACTTGTGTCATTTATAGACCTTGGTGATCTTTTGGAGGCTACTTTTTGTAAATCAAGGCAGTGAGTAGTTCTGTAGGGCTGGTAATATTCTCTGTAGTGTTGTGGGCAGAAATTGTTTTGATGTCTCCATGTGAAAAATTCCACAGGTTGTTCTTTTTCCTTTTTATTTGATCACCTTTTCTTCTTCAGGAAATGATAGAAGCTATCAGAGAGGCTGTCATCTACCTGGCACACACTCATGATGGAGCCAGAGTGGCAATGCACTGTTTATGGCATGGTACCCCCAAGGTAATGTTTATTTGCTTTCTAGTTGAATTTAGGCCCAATCTGCATTACTGTTCACATAGGTTCTTCTATTTACAAGTAGTCCTGTTTCGCTTACATAGGCAAGTGTAAGTTGTGGAACTTGAGAATTGGATGCTATTGTGAGAATTCGTGAAATGGAAGCATCTACTTTTCCTTTCAGCAGTATTTTTTGGCTTAGCACATAAAACTCTTACTAGCCATTCATTCATCCTGCAGACTTCTTAATGCAAGTGGAATTGGCAGTAGGAAAATGATGATAAGAAAGAAACAATACTTGCTTTTAAAATATCAAGACTTTAAAACAAAAAAAAAAAAAGTAAGAACTGTTTCTGCTGACATGATTTCTTGAAGTTCTTCAAGGTGTGTACCATCAGTTCTTGTAAATGCTGTAATAACATCTCAATTTTTTTGCTTAGCAAAAAAAGCAAATACCTTTTTAAAAAAGAATTTGCTAGGTACTGGAGATTAGTGATGTATCTAAAAAAGACTGAGCAATGGTCATAATAGCTGAAAGGAGAACCACAGAGGAAGCTTTCTCCGAAAACAAATCTTGCTCTGAGGGGTTTTGCAAGTAGAATCTCTGCTTCAGAGTTTCTGGTCATATTGATTAGGCTTCTTTCCAAACAAAGAGTTGAAGAGCATTCCTATTCTGTAAGTAACTGACAGAAAATAAGTGGCTGTATGTAGATTTTTTTTAAGTTACTTCTTTTTGGGATCTCCCATTCCTGGACTAAACATGTAGATACCTCACAGAATGTCTCTGAGACTGTAGTGAGACTGTAAATTCAGATTTAACCCTTTGCATTGTTTTTTGAGTGCTGACATAGTACAAATGTTGTACTTCAGTGACTATTTTTAGTTTTAGGAAGCAAAGTGGAAGTTGTCTTTTTGAAGGAGTAAATAAAAGCACACTTGTTCAGACTTACTGGCATTATGAGCTCACTTGAGTTTCCTTCCTTTTTGGATAGGACAGAAAAGTTATTGTGAAAACTATGAAGACATACATTGAAAAAATAGCTACGGTGAGTGTTCATTAGTTATAAATAAAAATATATCAGAAATAACTATTGTATGATTAAAGGCTGATATTTTTTGTGTGTGTGTACTGCGCAACTGGAAGCAGCTATGAGATCCCAGAATTAGATTTGCAGTAGTGATGGTGTAGTAAATAGTCTGAAATAATCAGCAGCTTATACTAGTATATTTGAAGGCACTGAGAAGCTTTATTGTGTGCACTGCATGCAGTATTATTCCTTCAGGCAGCAGAGTAAATTGTAATTCTTTCTACTGCAGTGCTTTGCTCTTTAATTCATGTATAGGAGAATTAATTGTTTGAGACAGAAAGAAAGCAGGTATGTTCAAGCCTATCTTTATACTTTGTTTTTATACTACTCCTTGGTCAGATTGTTGTGACTGAAATACTTCCTCTTCTAGATAGAGATTAAAATTTAATACGTGCTGGGGATGTCATTGGTAAGGTTATTACCAAAAACCATGACACAGATTTTTAATTGTGGGAGCTTCAAAATGAACTAATCATGAACTGATATACAGTGGAAGAAGTCTGTATTTACTTTGTGTAAGAGTCATAGAATCAGAAAATAGTTTGGGTTGGAAGAGACCTTTGTAGATCATTAGGTTCCAGACCCCTTGTCGTGGACAGGAATACCTTCCACTTGACCAGATTACTCACGGCCTCATCCAGACTGGCCTTGAGCACCTCCAGGGATGGGATGTGATTGGCGATTGGGGCACAGAGTAGCAGTTGTAGTTTTGGACAGCACTGTTGTTACACCTGCAAAAAAAATAATAATCTCTTCTTAGATTTCTTTCCGTATGGATGCTGTGATGTTCTGTTTACTAATAGCATAGTCAGTAGTCTCCAGGCTTTTCTGACCATGCAACCCTATCCCCACTATGTACATTTATTTCTTAATAATATACAGTATGATGTAGTGATATAACAGATACATAATAACATACACTTTTTAAAACTAAAAAAGATGAGAAATGCAATTTCAAAAGTATCTCTTACTTTCAAATGGTACAAGAACATTTTTCTCATACCCCAGTGGATTGTCTTGCACACTCGACTTTGAAGACCACTGGCCTTAGTAATGTTATCTGATTTTTCACATACCAAAAATATGTGTGCAAAAATCAGAAACAGGTTGAATATCAGTTAAAACAGTTTGGGATTATTGAAGGTTTAGCATCACCCTCATATAATCTCACTGACATGCAAATGAATTGGGTTCTGCCTGTGCTGTGTAGATTTGACTTTGCTAGATATGTGCTCTACAGAACTATAGTATCTACTTCATTTCAGTTTTAAGCAAATGCACTGCAGAAGACTTTTCGATCTCTTCCAGGATCTGGTTGTTAGGGCTTATTGGGATAAAGCCCTGGAGAGATAGGTGTCCCAAAAAACTTGGCTGATACTCAAGGCTCACTTCCTCTGCTCTCGAGAGCTATGTTCCTAACAGTGAGAAAGTTAGACAAAAATGTCAGGATGTTTCTTTTCTCTAAAAGAAAACAAGAGACCTATTTACGTGGCATATAGAGAAAGCTGAAGTGCTGAATTACTTTTTTTTTGCCTCAGTCTTTACCAGAAAGTGTTCTAGCCACACTCCTCAAATCCCAGCAAACAAAAGCAGGGACTAGGAAGAGGATCAGCTATAGAAGAGGATCAGCTTTGAAACCATTTATGGAACCTAAATGTTCACAAATCCGTGGGACCTGATGATTTCCATCCATGAGTCCTGAGGGAACAGGAGAATAAACTTAGTCAGCTGTATCCATCATATCTGAGAAGCTGAGGCACTCCAGTGAAGTTCCCCGTGACTGGAATTGAGAAACATAACCCTATTTTTAGAAAGGGGAAAGAAGGAATACTTGGGGAACTAAAGGCTCATTAGGCTTAGCCCTCTGCCTCCTGGAAGCTGTGTCACGGCACATAGGATAGAGTGATAATTGGTGACAACCAGCATGGCTTCACTAAAGGCAAAAAAGTTTCCTGAAAATTACCATCCATGGCAGAGCTTACAGTGTTGGCTGATAAGCATATGGTATCATCTGCTCGTACTTGTGCAAAGCATCCTTGTCTCCAAATTGCAGATACATGAATTTGATGGATAATCCACTGGGTAAATAAGGAATTAGCTAGATGGTCACATTCAAAAGGTGTGGTCATCATCTCAGTGCCCAAGTGGAAACTAGTTGCTAATTGTGTTCACTGCTGGGACCACTACTACATACCATGTTTGATGGCAACCTTGACAGTGGGATTGAGTGCATTGTCAGCAACTCTGCCAACTCAGCAACTCAGTACTAAACTGAGAGGTGCAATTGACATATTGGAGAAGAAGAGATGCTAACTAGAGGAATCTTCTTGGCTCAACAGATGAGCCTTAGTGAATGTGATTCAGCAACATCAAGTGCAAGTGCATGCATCTGTGCTGGGGCAACCCCAGATGTGAATACAGGCTGGGCAGAGAGCTGCTCTGCAGAAGAGGCCTTGGTGTACAAGTGGATGAAAAGCTTGACAACACCTGGAAGTGTGATGCAGCCTAGAACTTGCAGCCTAGAAAGCCAGTGATGACTTTGACTGAATCAACTTGGGCCAGGATCCTTGAGGCTTTGGGCATGTTGATCTAAGTAGAAAGTGTCCTTACCTATGACAGGGGTTTGGAGCTTTTCCAACCCAAACCATTTCATATTTCTGTGAATGAAAATCTGAATACAGCGTGCCAGCAAAGCAAATCCTATGATTTCAGGTGATGATTATACAATTGTATTGTATTGTTAATATCTAGCATATGATAAAGCAATATAGCAGTGTATAATGACAGATCAAATTTATCTACATTTTTAGAAACAGGCTTCTCTTAAGCCTGGATTTCAGGTTTGTTCTGACGCAGACAGAATTAGCTTGTATGCTCAGGTAATGTTGAACTGTCTTAAGTGTTGGTTCAAAATGAATTATTACAAAATGAATTGTTCACAGAAATCGACTGTGTCACTGAAGTTTTCTGTTCCCATCCTTGCAGGGTGAATTTTCTCATTTGGTTTTGTTGGCAGCATTTGATTGCATCGACGACACTAAACTTGTGAAACAGTTAATTATAACTGTAAGTAATTATTTTTTTCCTAAAACACAGGCATTATCTCATTTTTCATTGTACAAGTGTATGACAATAAGAATCCATCCACTTCTTAGAAATCATTTAAGCCCTTTCCAACTTTATTTCTTTTTGTGTCACTTTTTTCTTGTCATAAAAGAACTCGGCATTTTCTCTGCATTTACTTATTGAATTTGAATTTAAGTTAGATTAATTACTTGCTAACAATTGTACATGTTCATCCAGACTACGGAATGACTTGAATCTCTTTAAATTAAGAAATGTCGTCATAAGTTTAAGCTCTCCTGGTATGTGTGCTGCTTTGAAAGTAATGCCTCCAACTTTATTGTGTTCACCCATGATGTCAGATGGGATGTTGGTGGTATGGCAGAACAGAAATATGGCAACGTGTTTGACTGTAGCATAACAAAACTTTTTACAAAAATAAGTACTTGGGACTCTTGGTTGGATGCTGAAGCCATAGGCTTACATTAACTATCAAAGCTTGACATTTTACTCAGTGTGTTGATAGTTAAACGATAACTAATGTTTGGGATAAAAATCCTTGAAATATTCATCTAGTTTCTAAAGTGGATATAGGCATCTGAAACATGAGAGCAGTTCAGCTGTTTTGCAGCAACTGCATATAATTACACAGTAAACAAAAAAAGTAGTATAGTCCTGTCTGCATTTACTTCCTTTTGGAATGTCCCATTTGCCCACCTTCTTTCCAAAAACGAATTTTCATAAAGTATTTTTACTTAAGTCACATTTACATGCAATTCTTACTATTACTATAAGATGTTTTTACTGTTTTCACACTGAGAAGAAGGGCTTTATAATGCAGAACTAATTCTAACATGAATAAAATAATATTGATATATATATATTATATGTATATTGTAATGTGCTCATAGCCATACTCATGCAGTGGGTTTCATCACATTAATGATACATGCGAATTGAGAGCCAGTGGCAGGGAGTTAAAAATGAGGGAAATGCTTTGCATGACACTGTCATGAGAAAATGACAAGGCTTGCTTTGTTTTTGCTTGGAACTTTGTCAGGAGATACTGAGTTTGTTTACCCTACCATGGAAATTCTTTTCAGAGTCCCTTTCTCTAGTGTGGTAAAGTGAAAGCATCTCACTGTGGAGGTGACTTGTGATTCTCCATTATACAACCTGTGATCACAGCTGGTTTCCAGAGTCCACTGAATGATTTAACAACGTTGGGCAAGTTCCAAACAAATAGGCCCTAACAAATCAAAGCTATCTTTCATCAAGATCACTGATGAACTTCTGTACGGTGTTTCAAGCGCTCTGCTATACAGAGGGTTTATTAAATAAGATACTATGCTTGGTTTTATCTTCCACTATGTCACTTAGCATCTGAATACTCTGTATCTTTTCCACCACCTGAAACTTCCTGATGATACCCCGGATAGCTGAATGTTTGCTGTTTAGTCATCGTACTGGACAGAGAAGTAAAGGAGAGCGTGTGTAGGCAACTTATTCTTGCACAGAAGTAGCTTTTCTGGCCAGGAAAAGGAAAAAGACATCAGGGAAAATGAAAAATTTCTCAAATGAGATCAAAACCAGCTCTTAAGATGGGGAATGAGAGCTAGTGTCTGACGAAGAGGCAGAAGCATGAAGAAATCAAACACTGAAGTATATTCTATAGAAGAATTGAGAATGTAATATTTTCTTTAAAACAAAATTAGTCTCTGAAATACCTTTTAAACTTATCTCTCTGTCCATACTAAAAGCTGAATGAATGTGAAGAAGACAAAGACTTGTGGAAGAAAAAAAGCAACACTTGCCAAGTCTTTCTTTTGTGTGTTTTTATTTTTCTTATGTTATAAAATGCATTGCTCGTTATACTGAAAGAATGGTTGGGAATTTTTTAGGTAGAGGGAGAATTGCAAACTCCTGAAAGCCTCAAAGGAGAGTCTTTTCTTATAATTTCTTAGCTATGTGGCCTTAATCCTGGATCAGATAATTTATATTGCTTTAAACCCTCATATATGATTGGAATTATATATTGAATGCTTGTCAGAGTTTAGAATTCAGGCAGATTTCAGTGGGTAAGCTCTTGCTGGGAATATTCTGAGCAAGTATCGTTAGGGAGAAGATTCCATTGAAAGGAGTGCAGTTGTGTCATTTAGAGTTTCTGCTTCTATAGCTCTGGCACTGAAAGCAAGTAAATTCTGTGATTAATCAGTCACAAAAATAGTGGGAGAAATAAACTTTTGCAAGATTTAGAGATAAATGTTTTTATTATGTTAATTGACTGTGTTATAGCTTGATTTCTTTTGTATTTGCTTGTATTAAACTTAAGTATTTTATTTACCTGTTCTAAGTTTTGAAATACTTGAACATCTGTCATCCGTGTAAAAATAACTACGCACAGATCTAAATCTCAGTGTACACGCCAAGGAGAAGGGGTCTTCCCCTTTAGACACCCTTTCTTCTGGGTTGGAATGTGAAGATTGAGTTAAAAACTAAAGAACTACATGAAGTGCTGCATCCAACTGATGCTCATTACAGTTTATGAAGATTTTTACCATTTCCTGCCAGCTTCTAGCCACCTGTCCCTTTCTCTTCCCTCACAAAGGAGCTGTGTCAGGGGAGGTTCAGGTCAGATGGTAGGAAACTGTTTCTGATGGAGTTCAAGAAGGGTCTGCAAAATATGGATAGTCCTGTGTGAGTCACAGGTTGGACTTGATGGTCCTCGTAGGTTCCTTCCAATTCAGGATATTTTATGATACGATATTTATGATATTTTATTTTATTCAAAGGCAACTAACCAGGCCTAGTGTTTATTGGGGGGACGGGGGGGGGGCAGAGGAGGGGGGAAGTGGTTTAAATCATATTATCATTCAGTTCCTTTTATGAGCTGTTGCTGAAAGAATTTTCAAAACGGTGGGGGTAGAGTGGTGAAGGGGTTTTTAAGGGCAGAGGCGCATAGAATGTGATGGAAGTGCCTAAAGCCACGTACAGTCCTCCTCCAATTTTTAAACTGTTAGCGTTTATATGTACTTTCAAAATGAATAAATTGATAGTATACAGAATTCTGAAAGCACTAGTGTAAAAGCACTGCTGTCTGAAGGAGTCTTCATCAAGAAGGGGGTAAAAATGCAAATACGTACAGACTAAAACAACACAAGTATTTCTTCTCAAGCCCTCTCACTGTACAAGGGATGAGGTGCTCATTCTGAAGTTTACAAAATGGTTATTGCCAGCCATCAGCTAGTCTTTGGGGAAAGCCCTGTGCTTTCTGCTAATGCTTGCATAAACTCCAAGTAATGCTGATGGTGCTGCCATCAGAAGTTGGATTTGTTCTATTAATGGAATCTTTTTTGCTGTTGGGTCTTCCCTGATCACTTTAGGATGTCCCTTCTCAAGGACTGTCTATACAGCTATTTGAAAGTCGGCATGGTATCAGTGATCACTGTTGGGTGATGTATAGACAATCTTTTGTATGTTTGGTCTACTGAGGTTATTATTTCTACTCAAATCATGTCTGTACACAATTATGATGTACCAGAATATGTGTTGCTGTTTGTACTTGTACGTATTAATAAACTTGATTCATAGTGTTTTCTAATCAGTGACGTTGATGAACCTGTCTTAAACATTAACATTTCTTCCATTTCTTTAGCTTATGGTATGTAGTTTTCCTTTTCTAAGCTTTGCATTTGAAAAAATACATAACTACTGGTGGCTCAAAACTACTATTTCATTAATGTTTTATTGCTGTTTATTCACTTCTACAGGAATTAAATGCTTCCCTGGCCAGTTTAATTTCCAACAAACATGGAAAAAAAGTCTTGCTGTACTTGCTAAGTCCTAGAGACCCTGCACATTTTGTTCCAGAAATCATCACACTTCTGCAGCAGGGTGATGGAAATGCCCATAGGTAACTGAGATATGACGTTCTTTTTCCTAGAGTCCAGAAATGTTCGTGCAACTTTCCCTAATGATAAATTTAATTTTATTGAAATATATGCAATAATACATTATTTACGGTGTATAAGTGTTATTATTATATATCAATCTGAAGACCTTGCTTTTCTGTTTTTTGTTTAAAGTTTGTATGTGATGATTGTTTGAGTTAGGTTGTCTGCTAGACCTTTAGATATAGCAATAAAAATTTAAAATTAATGTTTTTTAAGCCGCTTATCTTGTACTGATATTGATTCTTGTCAGGTTTTGAAGCTGCTAGAGTTTTAAAGTGAATTGTTTAAGCAGGCTCTCTCAGTAGTTGCAATTGCAAAATGAATAGCCAGCAGATGGAGGTTAAATTACCATTGTTAATGAAAAACTTACTCTTGTGAAGTTTAATGACAATTTTAGGCTGTATACATTCTTACTCTGTTTTCTCAAAATGTGTGCAACGTTTAACTGAATGAGGAACAAGGAAGAATAATTATTTTGATCTTTAACAATTTTTAGCTGTCTCAAAGAACGTGTATGTTCTGATTTGATGTGCGTACAGAGCAAATCTTCTGCATTAATTTGCTTTCTCTTTCATCAGTAAGAAGAATACTGAAATCCGCCGCCAAGAACTCCTGGAAGCCATTTCCCCACCTTTGCTAGAGTATTTGCAAGAACATACCCAAGAAGTAGTAATGGACAAAGCTGCCTTTGTCTTGGTTGCTGACATCTTAAGAACAGCTACTGGTGACATTCAGCCCACACTGAATGCAATTGCTAGTTTAGCAGCAGAAGAGCTGGTTCCAGGTGGCCGTGATGGGCAGGTAATGTAACAGGACATAAGACCTTGACATCTTGCAGTGCATTTGCTTACTAACATGAAGTCTGCGTATTTTTTCCTTAATGTAAGAAGCCAATGGACTTCTACAATAAACTTGTACGCTACAAGTTTTCTGACTTTGTTTTCTGATATGTTCCTTTAATAACTTATTGTGTATGTAATAATGAAGGCTTGAGCTAGAATTTCATCTGAATTGAGAAGCAAAATACTTCCTGGTCTTGAATTTTCCAGAACTAATTTAAATATTCTGTGGGAAAGTAGCTGACAGTCATGTAACACAGGCAGTTAGTAACTTCTTATAGTTCATTTAGCTATTTACGCTGAGAATGACAGGGGCTCTTAGCTTTCAGGAATGAATATATTCATGCAAGGGAAGATCGTAGCTAATAGCTGTTCCTGCAGTATGACTGTCTCTTCAAAACATACATGGGAACCTTTCCACTGTTTTGCTGAGTTAAAGTCAGTGACAAAAGTCTCTGTAGACTAGAAAATGGAAAATGTTATGTAAATAAGATGCCCTCCAGATTTCTGTAGTTTTGCTGAATTGTCTCAGCCTCCCTGAATTTTGTAGTGCCCCTCCCTCCATAGTGCCTATGGAAAATGGCAATAGAGGTACTTCAGGTACGAACAGAACTATCAAGACAGTTTATAGATGGAGGAAGAATGTTAAAAATATCACCCATTCTTAACAAATTAACTAGATTTCTTGCTTCTTTGCCACCACCGTGAAATGTGGGCTTTACACCCGGACATACTAGAAGAAGCACCTGTCTTTAAGCTCTTGTTTCCAAAATCACTTACCTCTGCTTCTTAAAATACACATTTGTTATAATTATGGTATAATGAACTAATGCTTTCTCTGATTTTCTGTGAGCTGTACTGTGGCGACTTTTGGAGTCTATGAAAATAATGAAAGTGTAGATCTTTTTGTAGAACAACTAGAGATTCTACTAAATAAGCATTAAGTGCTGAGAGTGGTGGATATTAGCTGATGAAGAGCAGAAAATACAGTTAATACTACTGAAAGTTAGATGCTGCAAGGCAGAATAAGAACAAACTGCTAACTTTCAAAAAATATTCAGATATTTGCAAAGGAAGAAATAAGTAAAGCGTGCAGGCATTATAATATAACTGGATTTTGAAATGTCACTGAATAATTTATTTGTGGGTTTTTTTCCCCTTTTAAAGCTTCACATTGCAGAGCATCCAGCAGGTCATTTAGTGCTGAAATGGTTAATAGAGCAAGATGAAAAAATGAGAGAGAGTGGGAAAGAAGGTATGTTAGAAATTTAGCCTTATTTGATCAAATTTGTACTTTTATGTTATCTGTAATATAGCCTAAATAAGATTGCTCTGTTTATTTCTTGTAAACATATTAATGAAAATTTTATCTTTTAAGATCATTGATTCTGTCTTTTTTGCTGTTGTGAATTGTGTTTCATGGACAGAACATAAAAGGCACATTTTTCTTCTACAAAGCAAGTACTGATGTGTAGTTTGCAGATTTGAGTTTACTGCGTACTTGGGCAGTGTTACTTTCAGTGCTTAAAATATTTTTCTTTGCTCAGACTCACAGCAATTTAAAGGATAATAATAGAGATGGTAAAGCTTTTCTGACAGAAAGACTTCTTTCATTACTGCTTGTGAGCCAAGCTGTAATCCATACTGTGTTCATTAGTGCTGCTGAGGTACCACTGTATGACTATTCCTACAGTAATTCCGGCACAAAAATAGGACATCTTTGCTGTTTTATATCCCAGAAGGCAGAGATTGGGCACAGATGTTCTCATCTTAATTTAGCTTTTTGGAACTCATTTTATTATATAACTGCAAAATCTTTGTATGTGTATCACCATATACGAATAGAGATTACTTTTTCTCCTATATAAAAAACTTGAAAAATGAATGGAGGTGGATGGTGTAGGGTAAACAAGAGAGAACTTCTCTTGTGCGTAGAGGGCTTTTTCTTGTGGAATTATCAGACCTGAAATACCGATTAATAATTACTGTGTTCAGCCTTCTGCTGTTTCTTTGAAAAATGAGAGATCACTGGGCCTTATTAAATGTTTCTGAAAGGAGGCTGTTTTGCTACTTTTTTTTGTAAGTGAATTATTGGATACGTTCAAAGATATGTTTTATCTGAACATCTTTTGGAGACTACACTAATTGATATTATGATGGTTACATGACTTAATTTATGTTTGCAGTATATAGTTTCCACTTTAAACGCAAGTTTTTTACTTTTTGTTTCTTTGTCTTTCACTGAATTATGTGTCGTTAAGTTCTGTTGGTGTGATTTTATGGCATCAGCATTAAAAAACAACCAAATTATTATAACGTGTGGAACAGTGGAATAAAAACTAACCTGTTCTTCATTTGGAATTCTAATCTGAAGTGATACTGAGAAACAGCATCAGTGTTTGAGTGCTGAAGTTTGGGGTACCTTTGGTTACTTCCTCTTAAATTTGCCCAGCTTACAAATTGTAAGATAATTCACTCTCAAGTTCAGTTCTTCAAATATGGCTGTGTACCTGTGGTGTTCTTAGAGGTATCTTATAGATAGCCTTTGAAATCATTTGAAAAAATTGAAAAGTAGATAATACTTTACACTAGTAAGCTGTCACCCAGTGTTGCAATTGGCTAAATTTTAAGCAATACTTCTAGTATTAGAAGTATTAGAAACTAGTCAAAAACCTACAGACCTATCAGTGCATTGAATTATTTTAAGGGATAATAACTTCATGAACACATAGAGGCTAAAAACTGTTTGCTTGAATTGCAGTTGGAGAGAATTTTTAACTTGCTTCTTTATATAAGGGTACTATCTTAATTTTTTTTTTCTCCCCCTGCCCCTCTTCTGTGTTTTAAAGGCTGCTTTGGAAGAACATTGATAGAATGTGTTGGTATTGAGAATTTGAAGACCTGGGCAGAAGTAAACCGAGGTGCCATTGTTCTTTGTTGGTATGTAAGGCTCATGACTATCTGTTATTAGTTCTTAGTATAATTTCTTCAGCAATTATCAGTTGGCACTATGCTGGCAGAGATTTCATTTTTTTTGCCAGTGGTAAATCTGCAGTGGAAGAAGATACTGCAAAAATTCAAAGCTGCATTTCCAAGGTTTCCAAGGGTTTTTCTTTGAGCTTGGGCATCTACAGTTCTAGGAAGCTACTCAATATTGGAAAAATAATAAGATTAAAAAATTAATTTTAAGTGTACCTACCATGTATTTACAAACACAAAAGGCTTAAAGGAGGATTCCACAAATAGCTACATTAAAATAGCTTACCCTGAAGTACCTGTGACTGGGGTCAGCTTGCACAAAGTGCAGATTCTTATTTTATGTAACTTATTACTGTGTCGTGATGCCTTAATCATGGAGCCCAGGTATGTTTTCATAAAAAGATAAGTATTCAGAATAGATCATTATAAATGATGAGCTGACTGGCTTGCAACTTGGAATTAGTTAATGATGCAGCTCTAGAGATCAAAAAGAGCACAAAAGAATCAGATTACTATCACTTCATCATATGCCAACAGTGGTACTAATTGTTGCTGTTTTCACACTGTAACTAAACATTAGTGTCAGGTCATGGAAACTGAAGGTTTTGCCTTAAGACCTACTCATATAGGCTTAGTCTGAGGCAGAATTGGCAAACAATTCAAACAGACAAAATGGTTCTGAAAATGAAAACACCATCTCCCCTTTTCCACAGCTACTCCCTCTCCTACAGTTACTGTAGGTTCCTTGATGTTTGCTTTCCATCTTTCTTATTATCTTTGAGTGAGGATACTTTGACATTCCCACACTTTTGCAAGATGAATCAAAAGGTGTTTAACTAATACGAGTCTTACTGCTGAAATCTGAGTTTTATACTAAGTTTATTCAGTCATTGCCATTCAGATTATTTCTGAGAAGAAATGGTATTAGAACAGTAGTTGCAATCCAGATTAAAAAACAGTTTACACAACATCACAGTAGTCTTATAGATCTGGCTGTAAAGATAGTTCTGTTCATAAAATTGTAATGCTTTCTTTGCCTCTTGCAAGTTCAGTACATGCATCTAAAGCCTATAAGTAATCTAATCCTCTGCACAGATGTTCAGTAGAGATTTTTATAAGGCCTGTGCAGTGACAGTGTATTAATGCTTGGACTTTTTGCTCTAACTTAAGACTGAGGAGAGTCATTTAACACATAATGTTGCTGGTTTATGTACTAATATATTTTGTTTGTCCAAATAACATTTTGAACTAAGTTGTGGAATTTTTTCCATTAATCTTACTTGAAGAGCTGTTCAGCTGTCTGTGTGAGAACAGCTTTTCAACAGCTTTTGAACACTTCTGCAAATATGTAAATACTTGTTTTGTGTTTATTATAGAAGACAGCACAGAACATGTGTTCATGTATGTTAATTTATGCAAATTTATCTTAGGAATGTGAACTTTTACCCCTCTCTGGTATGACACATGTCACTAAAGGGTAAAGATTTGACAGGTGCTCTGTTACCAAGTAGGGGAACTCATCCCCTAGACTATCAGTCAGACACTTTTCAGAAAAATTGAACCTCGCCTAACTGGATGAAGAGAAAGCATTTGTGAGGTGTGGTTTTGTTTTGGTGTATGGTGTTTTTATTCTATTTTGGAATTTTATTTTCATCTGAATCCTTTGTAGTTTGAAGTTCTTTTTTTTTTTTTTTTTTTTTTTTATTCTATGTATTAAAGTAAAGAGGAGTTATCTAAATCATACTACAATGATAAATCTAATTTAGTCAGTATTCTTAATAAAATCATTGCTTTCTAATATAAAAAAAAATACTGAGGTCCTTTTATCATGAAGGAACTCACATCTCTCTTATAGAGGTAATTTACAGATGCTGCATGTTCTCAAAACTGTAGTTAATTTTTGCTCTGTCATTGCCTTTTTTGCATATCAAAATTTCAGAACTGCCCATTCAGTCCATATGAAGCTTATGGCTTCCTGGTCATTTAAGCACAGTGACCAATTAATGTGCAGCTTGTTGAGTGCAGTGACCTGCTTAGATACCTGGTACACTTCAGACACCAGCCTTCCACTGCCTTATTGTTTTTGACTTTTGTAAAAGAATTTGGCACCTATTTCTTGCCGAGGACAAGCACAAAACATGGGAAGCATCATAAGATTGTAAGAGAGCTCTGCAGATGTTACAGAAGGGCTTACTGTAAATCAAGTTTTGTACACAAAATGTCATAGGTGCTGTTTTCCTTATATTTCTGTTATCTCTGCTCAGTATTTTTTGAATTTGTGAGTGATATGTTTCAGTGTAGGTACACAAAACTATTTATTCATTCTCACGTCACTTTTTTTTTTTTTTAATTGTAGAATTTTCTGTCCATACATAGACATCTGCTTACCAGAAGAACTTTAAGGGAAAATAAGACTATATTGTCTTCTGGCAGTACTGTGAGACATGCAGATGTTTCACATTAAAAACAGTGTCTTGAAATATCTGTAGGTACTAGCAGTTTGAAAGCAGCTTTACGTATATTCGTACAGATGTTATCAGATGAAATTCAAGTGACTTTGCTAAGGAGACAAAACAAATCTCTCCTTAAGCACCAGTAATTTGTTGTCTGCTTTACTCAGTTCAGCTTGATATGTCTACTGCTTAGAATCATAGAAGGATGTGGGTTGGGTGGGACCTTAAAGATCATCTAGTTCCAATCCACCTGTCATGGGCAGGGATGCCTTCCCCTTGAGCAAGTTCCCAAAGCACCATCCAGCCTGGCTTTGAACATCTCCAGAGCTGGGCCGTTCACAGTTTCTCTGGGCAGCCTGTTTCAGTGCCTCATTGCCCTCTAAGTAAAGAATTTCTTCCTCATGTCTAATTTAAATCTGCTCTTTTAGTTTAAAGCCATTACCCCTGTCCTGCTTTCCCTGACAAAATGTCTCCTGCTTTGTTGGAGGCCTCCTTTAGGTACAGAAGGGCCGCTAAAGTCGTTTTTATAGAGTATGAAGGAAACATGGTTTTAAGTATCTGTATATTTAAGTCAAATAGAATAATTGTGAGGCTTGTAAAGACTAATAGCATCATGCAGCCTATTTGGTACCAGTACATGTGTGTTTCAGTTTGCTTCCAATGATAGTTTATTTCATACGTGTTCAACATAATAGATTGTCTGAGCCACACTGAGTGAACAAGAATTGATTGTTTTGGGCTGTATATACTTAGGCTGCTCTTAAAGTAATGCCTCCTGCTTACTTTCAAGGAAGCTACAACAGATACAGTGAGCACAATAACTGTTTGATAGAGCACATTTTCAGCAGCAAAACACTATTTTTCAACATAGTCACCACCATTAGCTATACTTTTTTTCTGCAGTGGTGTGAGGTAGAAAGTAGGCTGCAGGTTGGACATACCTGGTTTATTTGGTTGCAACTTCTAATGCTGTTTTGGATTGTATATATGGATTGTATAAAATAGTAAACTTTTTAGGCAGTGTTCACTCAACATTTTGAATTGGCAAACTATGTGTACCATTCTTTGGTATACGTAGTACCAAAAGTGCAGCACAGGAAGTTCCACACAAATGTGTGCAAGAACTTCTTTACAGTGAGGTGACGGAGCACTGGAACAGGCTGCCCAGGGAGGTGGTGGAGTCTCCTTCTCTGGAGATGTTCATGACCCGCCTGGACACCTACCTGTGTGACCTGCTGTAGGGAACCTGCTTTGGCAGGGGGTTTGGACTCGATCTCTGGAGGTCCCTTCCAACCCCTACAATTCTGTGATTCTGTAATTCTTTCTACTACTTTATATTGTAATAAAACATTTCACTACTATATTTAAACACTACTACCTTGAAAGAAGGGGAGAGAAGGACAACTGAGGTGGAAACACAGAATATTATGCTGTATATTATGCTATGTTCTATGGTTTATTATGGATTTCCTCTTTTCTTATGAGGAAAAGTTAGCTAGGAAAGATAATCTTTTTTTCCTTGAAGGTAATGTCTAGTAAAGAACAGACCTACTGAGTTTTTGAGTCTTGCAATAAAGGAAACACAGAATATTAAAAGTACTTTATTAAATGTATTTGACTACATCCATTTTTACTATCAGCATTGCAAGAAAGACAGCAATAATGGGAGTGAGCTTGATACTGGCTGACCCAAACATGGGCTGACACTCTTGCCTGGCAAGGCTGTACAGAGGAGGGCTGGTGCAGCTGAGAGAAGTCATTATGTTCATGCTTTTTGAAAGTTTTACATCTTTCTCTAATAGGTCAGGGCGAACTGTTATATTCTGTTGTCTCTTAGTTAGTCTCCGCATGTGGACAATTTTTCATATGAACTACATATTGACTTTTGTCATCTTGTTATTTTCCCCATTGCCTCTTCTTGTAGCCTTCTCCGAAGCACTGATCAAAAAGTGACAAATGCAGTCAAAAAAGGACTGAAAAAAATTGTTCCAAAGTTGAAGCTGAATAAAAATACAAAAGGAATAGAAGCATTGCTGGAGAAATTGACTTCTTAGTGTACACAAAGCTAAAAAGATCGGTTACAACTATGCAATTAGCTGCCATTTGGTAAGATTTTTGGTCCATGTCTGTGTTCTAAGCTTTTGTGAATTAAATCATTTTGGAAGCAGTTTGTCTCTTGAGCTCATTGTGCTTTGTGTGAATGGTTGCTCTTAGAAATAGAAATCTCAGGATGTGTTTGTGAAAACTTCTTGACATCATGATGAAGTTAAATCCTAGTAACTTACACAGAATTGTTTTGATACCTGTTAAAATCTGTCCTATTATGTCCTAGTTACCATAAAAAAGGAAACATCTGCTCTGGAGCTGCTGTTGCATACAAGGTAAATACACGTGTTCATAATACCCTTCCCTCTTTTTTCCATAAACAAATTCTTAGGAAAAACAATTCTTAGCCTGTGAAGGAGTGATGGAAGTTTTCATCCTTCAAGAACTGACAAGAACAGAAAGAAAATGTTGTTGTCTTATCTTTTTTAAACAACGTCTAAAATGAGAGGCTTGCTCCCACTGGATCATAGTTCAGTTCTTTTTTTAGTTCAGTCTTCTGAAAAGTAAAGACTTCTAAGCCCTACTAAGCCAGTCTGTATTTTTGTTACCTTCTTTGTAGTAAGAAGGATGAGTTTACTTCTGTGGAATATCAAGTGTTTGCTGTACTTTCTTTAGAAAAATGTAATCTTAGGCAACTTTCCTGATGAGGCATTCATGTAACAACTTGTTGGTGTTTAATGCCATACTGCTAGATTGATCCAGACAGAAAATAAAATAATTCCTAATACTAGGAGTCACTTGCTCCTGACACTTATCCTGGTAAGGCACCTCAGTTTTTAGTACTGCATTGGCTGCCATTATTTCTCCTAAATACAGCTTCCTTAGCATAAAATACATTGCAACTAATTGGAAGTGGCTAGTGATACGCTAATATGCAAGAATGTTTTTTCATATCCTCAGACAAGATTATTTCCCTAAAAAGCATCAGAAACTGGGTAGATAAAATTGGAAAACTTCAAGTCCCGTGTGTATTCATGACTGGCTTCTGGTCTGCAAGCATTTTTATTCTTCAACAAAGCTTTCTTAGAATCATTTAGGAAGATAGTAAGGAAACGATCCCGGAATCATAATTAGAAAAGACTTTCAGATCATAAAATCCAACCAGGTTGTAACACTAAACCCCAATTCCTTCAGCCAGTCCTTGTATCTTTTGTTTTCTAGTCCTTCCGCCATTTTCATGCTCTTCTCTGAATACATTTCAGCAGCTCAATATCCTTCTTACAGTAAGGGGCATGAACATGATACTCAAGGCTCACTCTCACCAGTACTATGCACAAAGGGAAAATCACTTCTCCAAGTGCTGTTGGTTATGCATTTCTGGCAGAAACCAGTAATGCTATTGGTATCCTCAGCTTCCAAGGCACATTTCTGGACCCTGTTCAGCTGGCTGTCAACCAGCACCCTCAGGTTCTATTTTGCCACGCAGCTTCCCCACTTCTGCAAGCATATATCACTGGATGAATTTGTTATAATCCAGGTAAACATCTAGCATTAAGCCTTGTAGAGCACCATGGAAGTGGATGCAGCTCATTAGTCCTCCACAGAGCCTTCTTACTCTCAGACAAATTAACACTCCTGCCTAACGTGGGGTCATCTGTGAACTTAGTGTGGGTACAGATGATTCCTTCATCAAGATCAGTGGTTAGAAAGCTAAAACTGGCCCCAGTTCTGACCTGTGGGGAATATGTTATGGGTACTTACGAGAGCATTGCTCAGCTAAAATATACCAATAATAGTAGTATCAATTTAACTATGTTACGCATTCTTCTGACAAAACATTAGCATTTCTGGATTTCAGAATGAGTGTTTAGACAGAAATGAAACATTGCAGTGTTTCTGATGCTGTGCGTTATAAGGACCACTCATTTGGAAGACATCCAAGACTTTGCTATCTGTTGTCAATATGTCAGTAGTACTAGCATAATTCCTGTGTTTTACATTTACAAAGTCTGTTTCCTAAATTACCACAATTGCTTTACAGACCATAAGGAACTGCAGTGCTCAGCACCCAAGAAAATCAGATTATCTGTTTTGAGTCTCAGACTTGCATGCTTAGCATGTGGTAAATTATTTTGCTTCCCTAGAAATACCTATTTACAAGTTTTGGAATTCTCAAGTGTATTTTCAAGGTTGTATGTATAATTATAAGTAGTTTATACAAAACAAAGAAATACATAGTTTCATCTTAATAAGAAGTAGCCTCCTGCTGCCCATTGGTCCTGTGCTGTAGTCCTGTCTCCATGGGGAGAATGTTTTTCAGAGTGAGAAATGCCACGCTGAGTAAGCAAATTTTTAGAAATAGTACAGCTAATTTTAATTACTTAATGTTAGACTAAACTAATTAATACATGAGCATTACACTTTGAAGTAGTTCCATCATTTGTTTCTGTGTGCATCTGTTCATTTACTGATACTTTGCTGACGGTGCTTCCATCTAATTCCACCTAAGCTTTTGAGTAATAGTGAGTATCTAAAGGTTAATCCCAATTAGACCTGACTGGCAATGGTGTAAAACCTTCATGTTTGTAAGCAGATATCCTCTCCAGGATCAATTACTGAAGGTTACAGCTCATTAGTTTCTGTAACAGGATTTTCTCCTGTGACAATGAAATAGATAAGTTTAATTAGCAACAGATAAGGAATTTAAGATACAGTAAACTGCTTCTAAATAAGTCTTATTTACAGCCCAAAAAAAACAAACTGAAAGAAATACAGAACAAATGTGTGACTGAATAATTAGTGCCAGTGTAAAACAGATATCTAGGAAGAAGTATGATATATCCCTCTCCAATTTTCAGGTTACTGAGAAGAATAAGCTAATGCCTGAAATCTAGCACAGACATATTTCCAATTCAGAGAATGAAACATAGCAGTGAAACTAAGTCATGCTTAAAGACTATTTCAATAAACAGAACAGCAAAAAGCTCTATGAGAGCATCTACTTAGGTGAATCTGATTTGATGTTTTGTGTTCCTTCTCTGAATTTTTAAATTATGTAATTATTTGGAGTGACTGCTAATTTCTCTTAGCAAAATTTGAGAAATACCACTTTTGATTAAGTAAACATTAGTTACAGTTATGCTAAAGATGACACTATCTTTCTGCCAGAGAAAACTTTTCTGCAGAGATAGAACTTAAATGCATAGTTTGTGCTGGAAGTAATGCCTTTATTTATTTCCATGGAAACCACAGAAGAAAAGCACAATAACGCTATCTGGTTAATTTTCAGCCACGAAACACTGTTTTTCAATGCAGGGGCCACTATTATTTCTGCATTTTTACCAGCAATAAACAAGAATCCACATGCCACACTTGTAAACATCTGCACCAGTGAAGGTGCAGCTGGCAGGATGGCATAGTTGCTATGGATGATGTTGCCTACACAGTCCTTCTTTCACTGGCCCAAACAGAGGGAAGTCAGAAGGCTCCAAGTCTGTGCTACAGGGTGTGGTAGGACAGTCCAGCCAAGACGGGTAGTATGCTTCATGGTCTTCAAACTGCTGTGGGGCCTGGCCTTATTGTGTTGCAAGAAAAAGGTGCCTTCTTCTCTAGCCTGACTCTGGAAGTTCAAGCCTTCAGCTTAGTCAGCGTTGTCATGTAGTGGTCAGAGGTGATGGTTTGTCTGGGCTTCAGGAAATCTGGAAGGACCGTCTCTTTCCTATCCCAAAGGCAGTGCACATCTCTTTACCTACTGAGGACTGCATCCTGAACTTTTTCTTTGACGGGAAATTCGTATCACTGTAATAACGTGGTCCAGAAAACTCTGCATGTCCATCTGGAACATGGTTTGTCTTTCCTGCCACTGTTGCCACTGCTGAAATGCACCACCCAGTGGCTCACTGTGCTTCCATCCAAACAATTTTTCTTATTTTATGGAGGAATCCAGTTACACAGCTTTTCTTCATACACACTAAAGTAATGCCAGTTGAAGCCAAATTTTGAAAAGCGCTGCTAGAAGAGGAGAAAAAGGGAGGAGATGGAGAGGTACAGGACCAAAGTTACTTAAGTTACTTCAATGAGTGGACTCTTTTTTTCGAACCACACTGAAGGTGATGATGCAGTGCTGTTTCTTTCGCACCAGGTGTCTATGACTGTGTAAAAGTACGAGGGACAGATTTTCTGGGAGACTCAGAGGCCAGTTTTTTTTCAGTGTTCTCTTCTTTTGTCTGAAATGCACTTGACAAGGACCTCCAACTACTTCATACTATCTAAATTGTTTATATTTCTATCAGCGTCTTAACAGAGCTAATGATATTGTCTTTTTTTTCTTGCCAAGAAGAAAATGGAAGTGCATATACAGCAAGTAAATGTGCTACTTGCTCAGAAGAGAACATCTTCCAGAAATTACAGGGCACCTATTTTAAAGCAGATGTCTAGGGAAGTGACAGTCTCCATTGCTCTCCAGAGCCAACACTTCCCTCTGGTGCTCTGTGTAGCAGACATTGGAGTACGAGCAGCCAATACTTAATCATTAAGAGGGCTAGGACAGTCTGGCACAGTAAAGGTCATTATTTTTGTTTTTTAGGACAGATGACCTTGGTGTAGCATTCTTTGGAAATATTCAGACAGGTGTTACTGCATCTCAGTATCTCATGATTTAAGGTAAAAAATGAACATTTTCCCCCTTCTTGCTGATGGCTGCAGGTACCAATAACAAAAAATATTTCACTTCTCCACAGACTCTCCATCAGCATATGTTTCTTCAAAAAGCAGAAAAAATGTACGTAGTGATTCTGAATTTCTTTCTGAGTACTCTGAATGTCCTCCTGAGAACGAAGTGTGATCATTACAATTTGCAAATAATAGGAGTGGGAGGGGAGGATGAATTGAGACTACATGTACTGCAGTTAAGCCTATCAGTTGTGATACTTTGCTTCTTAATCCCATACATCTCTTATCTGGTTCGGACTTGTCAGAATGGACACAGGGCTATCTCCACATGGGTACACCACATGACATGCAGTGGCTTTTTGCATAAGTGTTCTATTCCTATGGTATGTAAAAAAAAAAAGTGCTGATCTAATAATCTAGTACTAGTACTCTTTAAAGTCATTTCTTTTG